ACTGAAATATCGACTGCGGCTACTTGCAGCTAAATACAAGCATTTCAAAACTGTTTTAAGTGCGAGAATGCATCTCACGATGTATCTGCTTTTGGCTAGCTTGAGTATTTGACGCCCTAGATCCCTTTCTGTGGGTTGATTTTATGAGGATAAAATGTTCAATGTTTGTGTGTGTTCGCTCTCACCTGAACTTCTATCACATATCTCGCCATTTAAATAAAAAACAAGCAGTTTAAGCTGCAATGATTCATATCTTGGCCGTGATCATCTTAATGGCTGGTTTATGACAGTGATCTAGTCAGCATGGACGTAACACAGACATCCGTCAATAAAGTACTATTGACTCGACACCAAAGCAACCAATTTTATCGATTCGTAAGGCAGTGAGAGTTTGAGCATTAAACTTTTTATTTTAATAACAATTTGCTTCGCATCGGCTTTAGTCTAAACTGAGAATTCTCATCGTTATCAGGATTGTTTGAACTGCGTTTTGTGTGCCTAATTTATTCACGCACATACATGCCGGCATTCGTCTTTGCCTCTCGCTTATATTACGTCATCTTTTTAAAACACAGTAAACATTTCCAAGTGCTCATGGCGTAAAAAGGTCCATGAAAAAATCTGTACGGATCTCGATCTGAAACAATGATTACCGGCAAGTCACGGTGGCTAGATTTCTCGAGAAATAGCTCGGTTGTCATGTCACCGGTAAAGATGTCGCTGAAAGCAGCGAAAAGAATAGGAGAACACAATATAGATGTTACTGGACTCCCCTTGGGAAGGTTCGTATACGATAGACTGGTAGCACTCTACAAGAGTCGATAGACTCTGTAAGGGGGCTGTTGTTCATGTGGCAACGTGTTATCCGGTAAACCGAATTTCACACGTGTACACATATGCACGTACCGTTTGTACGTGTTGAACCAGTTGGATAATGTAGTCCACAATTTACAGCAGAGTCTCTCTGTGCTCCGCACGAATATGAAAAAAAGATTATCGAAATTGGTCTGAACGTGTCAAATATTAAACGTTACACCTTTGACCAGGCAGTCAAGCATCGCTTGTGTGGCTGACATGCTATGAATCAAGATCGACCATTCCCAACGTATCTAGCCCTGAAGAGTCACCGTGAGCGGGATATCGCTGTATACCATCAGCAGTTAATATCCATTCATCAAGAGAAGTTGCAACCGAAAATGCTGGTCTGCAACAGTATTTCCCCAAATTTTGACCGATGGTAAGAAGAGTGTCTGCGTTAAGCTTTCTATACGCATGCTCAAACGGTCTCTTACCGTCAGTCTGTTTGGTGCAGAAAGTCGGCGCCAAGTGGGGATGTTTTCCTCTCTGTCACTAGTGGTGCTTCGTGCCTTGCACGGACGAACAGGTATATGTATTTTCTACTAAGCGCCGTCGACGTGTTACACAATGTTTGGCTCCAGGAACTGGGTCAGTCTGACAAAGCGCTTTCTGAGTGAGGAATACACTCGTGTTACGTCTTTCTGCCACCACGTCGTTATCTTCTAAAACAACGAAGACAAATGACCCTTAGAGAGCATGTGGTTAGCAGTTCACCTTTCTCACTCAATCTTTTGTGTATCCCTACCACAACGACCATGTTCATGTTGGATGATGAACCCAGCTTCATCTTTGGGACTGACGGTACCAGCTTAGTTAATTGCACCAACTTACATTTCATGCACACATACTCCTGGTAAACTCTTCGAGCTCAACAAGAGCTTTCGCTTGGGATGAGGACAGACAACATTCACTACCAAACCCGAGGTCATCAAATCATAGATATCATGAACAAGCATTTCACTCGAAATTTACTACCTCGAACGTTGGGTACATCACGTGGTGTTACTGTCCCATTGTGACAAAGATAGACTTTTAATAACGTCTAGGCCTCGCTCTATTACTCGCGACTCGTGATCGCCTGTCTCCACTGGTTTTTGCCCTGGAGACCGCGGCTCAAAGCCTTTCCGACTCATCTACCTATATCAGTCATAAAGATCATGATGCACAGTAGCTTTTCTCCGGCCTCCAAAACTATCTCTGAAATCCCAGCTAAGAGTTATCAATATCCCTATCATTAGAAACACACGTTGGGGACCAAAAGTTACCGTCACAAAGGACATCGCGGCCCAGTACTGCTTTTGCCTTCATATGTTAGCTCGAAACACATAGCAACACTTTCATACGTCTTGCGCCAAATTTATGCTCTATACTCGCGTTAGCCAAGGGCAGCTGACCATGCTGTTTCGTAACACATTTTCCTGGTATTCGGTGAGTGCAACGTAACTATGGCTGCAGTTAGCTTACTGGAAATAATAAATGCACTAATCGACACTTTGCCGTTTGCCTTACTGACAGCGATGATCGGCGCCGAGACCTAGACGATGGACATTCTCAGTTGTCGATATTGAATCATCGACATCCTCTCAATGCAGAGCGGCCGGTTCTGCGCCAGGGACTGGCTAATGCACATGCGACACTTAATCATCTGAAAGTACTTCGCATAAATCTCATGCGAGCAGAGCTTGAGTTTATGCGCTACAATAATGTATTTGTCAATATTTATAAGTGAATATTTGGTGATGTCAAGATGCTCTTCAAGAGTATATTTGTTGGGTAGTATGGCCTGCGGGCACAGCCCGCCAAGGTAGATGTCAGAATAGATTTGTCATTGTCTATGTCCCCTAGGGGCTTGAATTTATTAGCTTAAGTCCAGAGCATATTATGCCTACATGGCAAGATTTCTTAACAAACTTAGTAATAGGGCTCGAGCTGCGGCGGCAGGGGCGGCATTCGAGCGGGTGAAAGAAAGCCTTATGCCTGTCTTTATTTTTACTCTTCTGGATTTAGATCGGCAATTTCACTTTATCTATGACAATCCAATTTTTTCATTAGGCTGCGCTTTGCCCAGAGATGAAAGCGTGATCCTTACAAGCTAAAAGATACCGAAAAGAAATACATTGCTCATGGCTTGGGACCACTTACAGTGAAATTTACCCTAATTAGCTTAAGAGTGCACGTGATTGGCTCTATATCATTTGAGATCAATACAATGATGCGCCTTCATGCACTGCAACGTCGCAATCACTTTTCTTCAGCGGATATCAATGTAGTTATTTCGCTTTACTAAGTACAGTCGTGAAGTAGGATATAGTTAGGGTGGCTCAATTGGGTGGCAGATGCCTTTTCACGTTGCCGAACTTTAGATAATCGCTACCACAATGGTGACGACGCCTATTGATCAGGCGATTCGAACAGAATGCATGTCAAACGCAGCAGTTGTTGTGCTTCTGAAAGCTTTGAGAAATCGCTATTTTATCAAACTCAGATGTCGCATTACCGGAGGCACAGTAGCGCGCCTGCACCACTACGACTTAGCCCCGATATTGTCGCATTCAAGCGCTATACTCAGAATGTAGTGGTAAATGTAGCTATGGAGATCAAGCATAGAATTCGGCACAAAGTACATGATACTCTGTGAAATGTTAACCGCAAAGGAGGGCGACACTCTATTCAGTGTGCGCTATTTATTGCAGACCCAACATATATAAGTGGGTAAGGACATATGTGTGCATGCATGAAACGATTTAATTGGTAACAACATTGCTGCAAGCGGCGGTACCTTTGGCAAGCTGGTCGGCATCGCGGTACTTTTCATAAAAGCGTATCCCGTAGTATTAGAACCTCGGTCTTAGAGGTCCCTCTGAGCAAGTTGGCTCATCTCGTTGGCGTCAGCAATGGTGTGTCCGATGCGGATTCAACAAAGCGAAGATTTATCACCAGCATGTCTTGTCGGTAGCCATTGCATCGGATATGCGCTTTCCAGCGAAGTTTTGCGATCATTGTTCATGATGCTAGACGCACGACTGGAATTGTCAGCGATTAGCTATCAGCAAGCAGATTATCATTGTAATGAGGTTTAATGTTCCCAGGGTGTAACGGAGCTACACGTACCCTTGTACGAAAGGGCGGGTCACACAAGATGGTGTGACCATATGTGTGTGGATTACACAAGTGGTGTAATAACACAATGGTGTAGCTACACCGTAACAAGAAGCCACTACGTGGCAGAATTGCCAGTAGTGATGCAAATGAATTAGGTTTTAATATAGTAATCAGGAAAACCTAGGCTTTCAGATATTGGTGACCCTGCCGGATCCAAAGCAATTAAATACTGTAACAATTTTAAACGGAAGAGTCTCTTTAGCTTAGCTATGTGCTCTTAGAGGTAGTGGATCGCAATCTGCTGCACTCGTACTGGTTCTTGGTAAGCACGTAAGGTCGGTGCCCTTGGTTGGCTTCCTCTAAGAACTACGGCAGCCCCGTTGCAATCAGACGAAACGCGTGAATTGTTTAGTTTTTCTGGGGGCGAGTTGCTCGCAACCATTGACTTTGAGTTGCATGACGTGTATATTCCTCAACAGGCGTTAGCTCATTCTAAATTAAAGAGTACGTAAAATTTGAATGCTTTTGACACTGCTACTAAGTAGCGCCGGTCCATGTGGAGGGGGTGTTGATTAAAATCGACAGGCTGATACGAAATTGGCTACACATCGTAGCAATTCAGTGATTTTCACTCGATAAGACTAAGTCGTGGACAGGCTGTACGACACTTTTGCTGAAATTTGGGTGGGACGGACAAAAGCAACATGGCAACGATAGAAGCAGGCGGAATATGAATTCAATATACTAATACGTGCTATTTGGTTTATTAGAATGGCGACCGCGTTGTTACAACAATTCGAGATCGTAGCAAAAAGATACGGAAAACTATTAAAGGCATCCCAAAGGGAATACAATCAGTTCTTCTCGTGAGCTTACTGATATTTTATCCTGAAATTGCTTTTACAATTCGTCGATGAGGGTGAGATCTGTATTAGCGATTGTATTGTCTTTACCATCCCTTGTAGCTGAACCCACCTTCGCACTAAGCATCACCGTTGGGGCATGGAGAAACCAGAATCCACGCAGTATGATGACGAAGCCCAAAGAGCGAGTCTGAGATCTGGATAATCTCAGCCTGAGACACACACAGAGACTTTTTGGAGAGGGTCGACGTGTCGCCACGATGGGATCAGCTCACGAGGCCAGCCACGGGAGGGTTTATCACCGCTGGCTCTGTTCGATGAGCAAGGGGTTGTCCACTTTCATGTTAGAGTTTGGTGTGCACCAATGTTATTAACATTATCGCTTGACGTGAAAGGGTTACCCTCAGCTTGAGCCACATTGACAGACCACCCTGATGCCGTGGTCGCTTACGAGCTAACGCACATTTGAGCTTTACAGCCGTCTTAATAGAAACGAGCGGGAATTGTAGCAGCAAGAGCCGGAGGTGATGGCATTTAACCTCCACGTCCACGTCGTGCTTGAAACCTTGCGAAGTCACCATGAAAGATCCTCTCAGACGGATCCGCTTCGCCCAGGCTGGGTTGTAAAGCTTCTAGACGGGTATGGTGGCCCTTCATTGCGCAAATCGAGTCTGATATTCATCAATACACTCGCCAGGTTAAAGTGTTTAATATGCACATATCTTGGTGGGTAAAGGTGTCCCAACTACTTCAACTCCAGGCGCCAGCGGCACTCCGAAAACTACGACTTATACGTCGGACGCCCACGGGTTGGCTTTGTGGCGATTGTTTTGCTCTTGGTGTGTTTATGGATATGATGGGACCTTCTCAAAGAGATTTGTGGTACGCGTGGGGTGCTAGCCTCACGACAGACGAGAAGAATAGTTTTACTATGCGAGATTAATTATATTGAGTATTAGTCAAAATAACTTGGTCCTACATTCAATTACTCTTGAATAGCAGTGCAGTTAAGACAGCTAGGCACGCTTGAGGCTCTCGCTTTTACTTCTGAGCTTATGATATGAATTCACCTTTATGCGTTTTTACGCAGACTCTTGAGTCAAAGTTTCTGTTTGTGCAAAGTACACGGCAAATGCAACGGGGATGCTGTGCAGTATTTATCATAAATATTCCCACATAACTCATATTTCGTGATGGCCAAAGCCATGTTGAGGAAGAGGGAGAGAATTCTTAGCAGCTGAGCAGCTCCGCGGTACCCGCAGATGTTTAATTTGCGATAGCACAAACCATCTGCGCGTAGCATGCCACTTCGCACTTGGCAGAGAGATACGAAGGGTCGGGCTGTCACTCATCCATCTCCTTCATCCACCCGATTATACTTCAAAACGGTACTTTAATGGTATTTTACTTTCGCTAAAAATCGAGGTGTATTGTTATGTACACGTACACCACAATATCGTTGCACAGTTTCTCGCGAATTTATCTAAAAGCACTGACAGCAATCGGGAAGAATGAGCTCTCGTTCATCTTTGACGGGCTGGATCAAACCTTGAACTATGTTGACAAAGTCTCACAATACATACAACACAGTCCCTATGCGTATAACATACCCTCGTTGCCCTGTAAACTGATCAATAAGGCTTCATACACGATACCCGTAAAGACTTGTTGAGGTGTATAACAAGTTCATAGATCGAACTAGTGCAAGCTTATATTTTAAACTTTAAAACATTACCTACAGCTGTTCGCATGCGTAAGAGGTCGCTCTTTGCTCTAGCGTTATGCATAGCAAGCGCAATTGTTCCTTCTTCATTTTGTTAAATTTTAGCGACAGAATCGCTTATCGCACAACCTAGCGTTGGTTTACAAAGTAGAAGAACGTTTATTTGTTGCACATGCTGTATTTAATGCAAGGAAGGTTTATGCTCTCCGTGCAACAGTGCAGCTGTTTGGACTGTTCGTTAGCTAATTCTTTTGTCCACCGTTTGTTTATTCATGCTCTTACTCTATTTCAAAATATCTAACCATGCTATAAAGACAAGAGATTTGTATATCAATGAAAAGTCCCTGGCTTCTTTTTGCGAATCCTGTGCTTTGTCCTCAAAGAAAACACGTAATGAGTATCTTGCGACTGTACAATCTGACTCTCCTTTACTAGATCCATACGTTGTGCACATCATATGATTAACGTTCATTCGAGAAATGAACAAAGGCATGAGTGTCTAATCTCTCTAGCCTAAAAAGCCGCAGATGAGCCCATCGGTATTTTCCACGTAGATCGTGCTAAAAGGTGTTGGCTTCAACAGCAATTGCAATGAAGTCATTCTACAATTTGCCCTCACTGACGCATACCTCCAAGCATCATGGTCTCCTTCTCTACAATCGTGAGCGCTGTAGCTCTTATCTCGAGCTATTCGCTGGTCGAAGCCCAAAAAACTGTCATGCCACTTCCGTTTGATGGACGTGCGCAAGATTTGACCGTTGAAACGATCACTAAAAAGTACGCGACGCACATTCTTACTATGCGTAACGACTCTTCCCTGA